CGGGTTCGGGCTCGCCCGCGGCGCGCCTTCGTACCCTGACTGTTTTCGGACCCATGCCGATGGGGTTGGGTTCGGGTTCGGGGTCGGGTTCGGGCGCGGTTGTGGGGGTGGGGAGGGGTGGGTTGTCGTGGGCCGTTGGGTCTGTGATGGGTGCTGGGGTCTTGTGGGGGTTGTTGTAGAGCGAAAACTGTTGGATTTGTTTGTTTGTTTGTTTGTTTTGTTTGTTTGTTGCAATTGAGAACTTGGTTTAAGATTTTTGAGGCTGTCAATAGTACTGAGCATCGTCCCTTATTGAATGTTTTGCTACCTCATTTACTTGGTCTTGGTTCATGCGCATCGAAAGAGGTTACCAAGAAAAGTCGGTATTTTTTTGACACTTTTATGTTTGAATCCTGCCAAAAGAAGAAGAAGAAGAAGAAAATGTATCAGAGAGAGAGAGAGAAAAGTGTCAATACTTGCTACAAACTTTGTCAATACCCAATACTTTCTTTAAGAAAATTGTTAATAAAAAATCTAATGGTAAGCAGAAACAGCCTAAGAACGAAGAAGGCACTTCAACACCATTAAAAACACGCCTGCGAGGTGTTCGACAAAATGTCCCTACGGAATCAGAAGCACCTACGTCATTGCAACATCAATCCAACGCAACGCAGTCCCTCCCTTTCGCACCTCGTGTGCAAGCTCTCCACTTCAGGTCTCAAATCCGTCTATAGTTGGCCTCCTCTCATCAACCCCCTCCTTTGCATCAGTCGGCTGAGGCTGGTGCTCTCAGGGCCGACTTAGGGTTGATAGATTACAACTCTGCTACAACCTCCAAGTGTGATAATTCTAACTCAACGATTTATTTACCCATCAATAGTCTCAATTCAGATGACTTGGCTGCTATTGCTTCTAATTGCGGTATCAAGCATCCTCTGTCCTCTGCTGGTGCTGCTAGATTGAAGGCGTTCGAGAAAGAAAGATCTGGGGCTGTTCCTTAATCCTTTGCTCGGTGATTTTCTTTGGTTTGGTGGTGTTGGGCTACCCTACAATATTTAGTTCTCTCTTTTAGATGCGTTTAGTGACTTATGTTGTTGTTGTTTTTTTTCTTTTCTCCGAACTGAGCTTCTGGTTCTATTTTTGAACTACAAGCTCATTTCTTTTTATGCATGATTGAATCAATATGTATACTCCAAGCTCATTTCTTTTTATGCATGATTGTTTATCAATTATATAATCATATATATATATATATATATATATTTATAATATATATATATACTATATATTATATATATATCATACTCCTTTTAAAAGTACGAGTTTAGAAAAATCTTTCTATAGTCAATATTACCCTTAACTTTTTTTAATATTACATTGTTATCTTAATCTATTCTAATTATCCTATCTTCTTTATATTGGTAACCAAATGATTTATTCTATTCATAATGAGACTTAACATGTTATTGGATAAAATAGATATGTTTCATATAATTCAAATTCTTTACTTATTTCAGTTCATAGAGAAATCTAAAAAACATATGCTAGTCAGCACCTATAAGTTTTTGGACTTTGTAAAAAATATTCTCCAAATTTTTTAAATTGCACAAACGCCCCTACAAATTCAAAATTTTATTAAAACATTTAAAAATTATAAACTTTACTTATCTCAATTCAGTGAGAAATTAATCTGAAAAACGTATGCTAACTAGAAACTGAAAGTTTTTTAACTTTGGAAAAAATATCTTATAAGTTTTAAAAATTATGAAAACACCCCTAAAAATTTAAAATTTATAAAAAATACTTTAAAAATTTCAAACCTATAAACATACTAAAAATCTACAAATAACACAAACAACCCCCAAAAGTTTATGGAATTTGCAATACACACTGAACTTTTTACAAATTACAAAATAAAACCCTCAAATTTGTAAAATTTATAAAAAACCTGATAATTTATGACCTAACAGTACATTATAAATATAAGAATTATAAATATTCCCTACATAATTTATAATTTATATAAAATACCCAAAAAGTTTCAAAAATTACAAACAAATGTTTAAAATTCAAAAAACACCTGAAAATTTCAAATTCATTAATTAGTAAATTGAAAAAATAGGAATTATAAATAGTCTATAAATAATTTACATTCTGTAGAAAAGCCTATAAGTTTAAAAAAATTATAAAAAGTCCCTAGAATTCATAATTTACAAAAAAAACACCATGAGAATTTCTAACCTATAGACACTAAAATGAATATGTAAAATTACTAATAACCCCTAAAAAATTAAAACTTTGCAAAAAATATCATACACCTTTTAAAAGTATAGGTTTAGAAAAAAATTTTTATGGTAAATATTACCCATAATTTTTTTGAAAAGAATATAACTAATTAAAAATTAAATTTGGAATTAAAATAACAACCTTAAAATATAGTACATTGCAAATTACCCCTCTAAAGTTTGAAAAATTTTAATGATTTTTTTTGTAATTCCTTAATTTCAATCTAATGTTTAATAGTTTTGTGTATTTGTAAATTACAAATTTTAGGGTGTTTTTTACACTTTTTAAAACTTTTGAGGGTGTTTATTTTGTAGTTTATTTAATTTTTATTGTGTTTTTAGTGTAATGCACATATACATTAATTAATAATAATATTGAAGAATAAGTCGTTTTTAAGATTATTAGACCATAGTTAAGTGTGCACATCACTATTCCTATGCAGTATAGTTTATATATGCAAAAATTTTCGAACAATCTATATAGTTGTTAAAAAGATTTTGACTTTAATGTACTATTTTTTACAAATTATATTTAATGTGAACCCACCATATAATTTAAAGCATAATACAATATCAATTCTTATTTTTTGCTGGAGATTTATTCCATAGTTACGTGTATCAAATTAGTAACTAAAATAATTATTATTTATACTTAAATTAGGATGATTGTAGTTGGTCACTCACTATGAAATTTTTATAAAGATATATACCTTACTTTCTATACCTATCTGCAATGCCCATGTATATTTTATAAATTAGTTCTTAATTTAACATATTAAATTACTTTTTATTTGTAGAAATTTCTTCCTCGACTTTTAGACTGTGTAATCACTATATCACCATTCTAACATAGAAATGACCTCATTCTAAATAGGCTTCAAGCCAATGTTTGAGTTGCAATGAAGTATATACTATTGCTACTATGTGTATATACTTTTAAAGAAAATCATATCAAAACTTTTTAATATAAGAGAATATTCTAACATCTGATATTATTAAAACTAAATAGCCAATTGAATGATTAGCAAAAGAGAACTTACATCAGAAAAGTGTGAATAATAAGATAAAGAGGAAAAATAATGATATTGTCAATAATACTACAAATAGCAAACTATAATATAAAATTAACCTATTTTGTGGAGCCCAACTACTAGATATAAGCATCGAGGTTTCCATATATATACTTTATAATTTATTAAAAAGGGTCATATAATCTTATATAATAAAATTAATTTAATATTGAATAGTAATATCGTTGTAATAATATCATTATTAAAAAAAATATTCATAAATCGATATGTTCTTTATGATATATAAGCTATGCACTCAAATTCTTGTGTCTTTTATAGAGCCAAAAAATTTGAATACGAGTTTCTAACATGTTGCTCTCACAACAGCAAAATCCACTTAGGAGATATGGATATTCCAGATGAGTTATGTATTCTATATATAATACAATTGCCTAGGCAAGTGAGTTGTAATAACATTTTTTATTCACATCGTTTAGGGTAAGATTTGATAAAGATCTTGCATCAAAATAAAATTTATATTTAGAGTACATGGCGAAACATATCATAATCACCCTATTCTAATTTCGTAAGAAAATAATTCTTTATACTTTCAGTTTTACTTCTATGATATAGAGAATGAGCTATAAAATTAAATGAGAATATTAGATAATATAAATATGAGTGAAACATCAACTAAAAGTTAACATGAATTTGAGTCAAACTACAACTAATAGATTAATGAACATATTGCAAGTAAATTCATATGCAAAATTCCTTTACGAATTGAATAATCACCCATCTTTTGAAGATTTTAAGATACTAATAAATAGAGATGTTGTACTAAATTAATGTGTTTATAACTTATAAATAGTAGATCACGTGGTCACAGTCTGGATTGAAAAAAACAATGATAATATTTTATTTGGGTGAGAGATTATTGAGTTGATGATCAATCCCACAAAAAAGTTTGTTTTCTTCTTTTATTTTTATTCTATTTTGAGAGATTATTGAGTTGATGATCAATCCCACAAAAAAGTTTGTTTTCTTCTTTTATTTTTATTCTATTTTTATCAATTTAAATAATCATGATATTCAACACAAAAAAGTTTGTTTTCTTCTTTTATTTTTATTCTATTTTTATCAATTTAAATAATCATGATATTCAACCACATGCATTGCATGTGCATCTCAACTAGTATATATATATATATGGCTTTTTGCCCTACTTTTTCCTACAAAAATATACTCAACACTTTCTACAAACTTTTAACGAAAACTAATTCTTTTGGCAGGCTGCAGGCAATTCTCTTTTGCCCTCTTATCGTTGTCTAAATAATTCTGAGTACCTAGGGGATGTATTAAGTAAAACCTATCTAACATGATGCACTTAAAATGCTGCGACACCCGCAAATTATAAGCATCAAATACTTTTGCAGGTAAACTTCACTAATCTTGAGTTATTTGAATTTTTTCTTGGTATTCAGGAATGAATTCCAAAGACTAATAACTATTCCAATCAAACTCATAATTTTTGCAGATAAATCTCATCAGAAAAAAAAAATCCGAAGAAACTCGAGGAATTCTGTGCAATTAGAACTCCCAGTTTCTTTCGATAATTCAGCATTAAGTTTTACCAAACCTACGACCCATCAAATAACAATTTGTACAATACAGCAGCGGGAGCAAATAAGCATCTAAACCAGCACAAAGCTCAGATAAATATTACACGTCAAAACAGATGCAATTTTTACAGATAAATCTAGGCAAAAACAAATCTGAAGAGACAGTAGGAATACCGTGCAATTGGAACTTCTAGTTTTTTCCGATAATTCTGCGTTATGTATTTAAGTTTTTACCATGCCTCTGACCCATTAAAGAACAACTTATATAATACAACAGTTGGAGCAAATAAGCATCTAAACCAGCTTAAAGCTCAGTTAACTTAAATATTACACGTCAAAACAGATGCATTCAAGCATCTACATAAACAATTTTAAAAAAAATCTATCCTGCAATAACCCTAGGAAAAAATGAAACAAAAAATCAACTGCATAATTTTAACTTTAACCAGCAGCTTCAACTTCTGCAGTAATATTCTTGACATCAGTGGTTGAATAGGCACCTTGAGGACTCTTTATTTGAGGAACGCTGGAATCTGTGTCGATAGGTGCAGTCGTTCTTGGTGGTGAAGCGGGTTGTACCTCTACATCGGGATAAGCAGCCTTGAACCTTCCCCTAAGTCCTTCGTCTACTAACCTCACGCCTTGCAATTGGTTTCCCAGTGAAAGCCACCTGATGAAATTAAGGGAAACAGCTTGATTGAATAGAAAGAAGAAGAGATCCTGACAATCATGGAAGCAAGCACCAAAATAGAAATAGTTTTGTTCCAGTGTCTTCATCTCCGTTAGAGAATAAAAGAAGGAAGTTTGTTTAGATGTTAGTGCGTCAAATCTTTGAAATTTCTCACACATCCCTAGGGATCGTGAGGGCTCTTGCAATTTGGTCACGATGACCAAAGTACCCCTCAACTAATGTTTTACCTAACACAACTTCGGGGGAAAACATAAGATGAAGACTGTTTTGTTCAATGAATAATCAAATTGCAAGTCCCCTTGTGAGGGACTTATGAGCAATTTCAAAGATTTGAGTAATATGAAATTATTGAAGATTTGAGGGACTAATATCTAAATAGCCTTAAAATTATAACCCTCAATACTCTCAAGTCTCAACCCTCATGACAGTTTCGGAATTATGATGAAGTGGCAAGGTTCTCAAATATGGTACCAAAGCAACCTATTTAAATCTCACTGGCCACTAATTCAAAAAAGAAAATGATAATATTCCTGAAAAGTCCAGGTTTTGGCCCATGAAAGAATGCTCAACTCGTGGAGGCACATTAGAGTACAACATTATAATCGTCAATCCTCACAACTTCGCAATCTTAGCGCAGTGACCGGGTCCTTTGATAAGAGGTGTCAGAGCACCCAAGTTCAAATCTCCCTGACTATTTCCAAAGTTGATCTAAAGGAGAAAAGACATTGCTCAGTGAGCCTAGGTTTCTGCCCATGAAAGGTTGCTAAACCTGTGAAAGCATGTTGGAGTATAAAATTATAACCCTCAAATTCACCACGCTTCAGAGTTTTAGTGCACTGACAGGATCCTTCGACAATCTCAAATGACCTTTTACTTTTTTGGGGAAGAAGAATAGTATTGTCCTTGGAAATACTTAAAAGATTTATTTACAGGATCATACTTGTGTGAGGAAATAGAAGTGCAGAAAGAGACAAGCTTCACTATTTCCAGTGAACCCAAGATGACATAATAACCGCTATAATTGATACTAGTGCATATTTTTTCATAATGACTATTGTGCAAGCACACATTGAGATGGGCATGAGTCACAACCTGATACTGTGTTCAGTTTATAATAGTTCCAAAGAACAAAAAAATTTAATCAGAACTAGCATTTATGAGAGAAGAATTTAGTAACTCCGCTGTCAAATGTGTTTATACAAAGTACTAGGATGAAACACCTTCAGGTTAGCCATTGTTTGGGAAGTATTGTTCCTTTCCAAGATATAGACAAGTGGTGAGCCCCACCTTGGTAGTTGTATCGAATCTCAAATGTCATGTTTTACTTAGAATGCATCGTAGGTTTCATTGCATAATTGCACTGATACTAGTTATTTTTCTAGGTTTCTTTATCTAGTATATGGATTTAGATTCCTACTCAGGATTATTTAAACCTACCAGAGTCATAAGATTGGATATCATTTATATGACTTATTCGTATTGACCATTCATTAACCAACTAACCTTATCCTTCATCAGCCATCAGAAAGCATATCAAAGAGTTTCCAGGAAATATATACAAAGTATCTGCTAACCATAGATTTACAAACTGCTTAAACAGAGTGGCTTGCTAGACCCACTTGCTAAAATTGCCAGTACTAATAAATGCTGAGCCATGGCCATTAGTAAGTACTTAAAAGGCACTTAACTTCTATGTCTATTTGCATGATTGTCTAGAACTATTATTGCACATATGTGGAAATAGCTTTCATAGAAATATTTCTGAGGATGTCATGACATGGTAACATATTACAAATTCAACTAAGTTGATAATTATGTACCATAATTCTATGTAACCTACAGCAAAAAAGAAAAATGATCTAGGGCAAAAGGTTGTACCCTGCATGCGTATTGTGCATCCTAGCAAATAGTTCCAATTTCCTTGTCCTCGGGCTTATCCTTTCCAACAAAGGATACATCTGCAAGGAAAGAAGGTAGTATCATAATGTTGTGAAAATACAATATTAGTTTTCAAATTCATAAAATGAAGATGTCAAAAACTGAATGAAACCACATGAAACTCTTGCATACAAGGTAGTCTGAAGTGTGACACGTATTAAATTATACGTTATGACCAAGCTCTCGACTATACAAAAAAATCTTTAAAATATGAATTAAAGTTTGATGAATTCGCATGTTACTATATAATCACTTTCCCTAATTAATAACACAAAACACAGGTAGTACACAGACCACTGCCAGCACTAGAATATGGAGGGCATTGAGTTGGCCGTTATAGGATACTATAACCTCGGAAATTGGTGCTGGTGCTAATTATCTAAAACAAAAAAGATATTTTGAGCGATAGGGTGCAAATATGGGTATGATCCCCCTAAAACCATAGGAATTAAGTGCATTTAATCATATATTATACATATGTATATGATTATGTACACTAAATAATTAGAGAATTGCAGGTTGAATTCTCTACAAATTAGCAATATGGTGCAGGTATGAGTACGATTCCCCTAATAATATAGCAAAAATAAGTGCACTTAAACATATAACATATGTATATATTATGATAATGTACATTAAATAACTAGAGAATTACAGGGTGAATTTTCTAAAGAAATTGTTTTAGTGAAATTTTTTATTGGAACTGTTGTCATTGCAGACAGATATTCCCGCAGAGACATCTACACGTATACAGGCAAATGGTATATAAAAGGTGTTTGTTATCTCCTTAAGCCTCTGTCTGGAAAATGGACAAACTTCACATATCCATGCTCAATGTGAGTTCCAAGCCTATGTAAAGGAGGTTGCATTTAGCTGACAACCAGCATAGGACTTTGTTAGATCTCTATGACATGAAACCTTATACCAGGTAGGTCTACATGGACTCACTAGATGTTAAAGGAAAGATCTGTAAAAGTCTAATTAGGACTTTATTAGGTCTCTTTCAGTTATCAGGCATGTTGACCATGAGATCCTACATTACAAGGTGTTTTCTAATGATATCATATTCATCAAAGTTGACAAGACAATGTATTATTGGATTTTTTTTTATATTCATCTCCCAAAATATGTGTTTTTTGAAATAGGTCCCCATTTGTTCCCCCAAATTGTTTAGGTTATACCAACTATCTCTCTAGTTAAATTATTTTTCCTTTCCTAATCCTAAATTTCCCCAGAGCTGTTTGTTATTCATGTTTCTCCTATCTTCTTCATTTACATGGCATTTAGTTGTGCAGCCATTGCATGGGAAACCTAGAGACAGGTAGAGGGTTGGATAGAGGGATAGCAAAAGAGTGTGAACAGTGTAAGGGGAGTTGGATGGAGAAGGAGAGGAGGTGAAGCAGAGAAGGGGCAACTGGTGGGAGAGAGAAGCATAAAGTTATATTGCAGACGCTCGTCAACCTCATCAGCCATCTCAGTTTCCTTTTTCATTTACGTTAGATAAAATATAAGCACATGATATATAATCGAGTAAGGTGGTTTGATCATGTACCATGGATACCTCTTAGTGTACAGTTTAGGAGAAATTATAATGTGATAGTTAATGGGCAAAGACAGAGAGGGGTAGACCTAAAGAACTTGGTTGGAAACAATTAAAAAGGACATAATGGTTAACTTAAAAGTGGGAGATCGCCTAGAATAGAATGGAAGGATAGGATTCTCATAACGGATCCCAAGCATTTGGGATAAGGGCTTTGCCGTTTCTACTGCTGTTGTTTTTGTATATGCACATGATATATATGTGTACACTCACAATTTAAAATTTTGTTATGACAAAAGAAGAATGTTACACTTGTTTGAAGCTTATACTTCAGTTTGAGCAAGCAATTTCATTTTACTCTTTTGCTTTTTCATACAATGTGTGATGCTTTCTAAGTATTTTTATTTACTGTGCAGTATTTCAACGGATCATTATTGTAGGTGTTTAGCAATTCGTGACACTAAATCTCCTTAATCAGAAAATGGAGGATCTTACATTTCATTGTTTAAATTTCAACAAAAAAAATTGTCATCCAATCTGATCTGACCACTAAGACAATTCAAGATATAATCTCTATGCTAACTATATTAATTAGATCCATGTCAAATTGCTTGCATATGACCATATGTAACTACAAATTCTTATAGCATAGCATGATCAAATATCGTATGTAGTAAACTTGAGTCAGCACAGCCAAAGTGCTATTATTGAATAATAACTCACACTAGCCTGAGAAGGAAAGTAATATACTGTTTATTTACCTCATCTGGCTTTCTACTTGTTTCACGAACTTCTGCAACAATCACATCCGTATCAATGTTCCGGTTCACCAAAGGATTGCCCTTTATTCCAACAAGGCAATGTTCTTTACTATGATTGAGCCAATGGCCTGTTCGTCCAGTTCTTATAATTCGCTGGAGTTGATTGGTTTTAACCCAAATTATCTCCTCAACGCGTTTGTATCCCCAAAGCTCCAGACTGATGTATGTATGCATATTGAACAAACAAAAAGATTAAATTCTGAAATTGCATTATTTGTACAAACAAATTACAGACTTTCTGATCCTTAATTAATAATAGACAATATCTGCCAGAATTAAAGAAAACATAGTACTCATGATAGGTATAATACATACAAAACCATATTATATAATTCCGTGGCTACTTGCCTTGCAAAGTCAAGATGGAAACAAAGGATGCAGGAAAAAGAAGAATGATAGAAGGATTAAATAAAATTCAATAAACAATCAGATGTCTTCCATCTGGTAGGAGTGGACTATCCCAGAAAATAGTAGCTAATCAGCACCTACTAATAGCAAATAAGATAAAAGTATGGAAAGGGTGCCCAATTTGACGTCATATTTAATATCTAACAGAAGACTCAAATATAATCATTTTTAATATCTAAAGAAAGACTAGCTTATAATTGATATATAAAGCTTATAATTGATATATAATATCATATTCTTGAACATTTATACTGCAAAAGAATGCCCAGCTACTATCCAACCATGTTTCATGTTTGTCTTTATCAGGTAAGCTATACTGCTAGATCATTTAGCCATGATGAGACCATATTTTTCTATCTATACTGATAATTCTGATTTGAAATAATACAGAGATGTCATCCTGTATAAATGACTGTTGCAGTTTAGGTGTCACTTTGGGATAAAACAAGATTGTGTTGTTGAAAGAATGGATATATGTCTTAACAGCTCTAATTTTATTAAGTTTTTTGAATCACTCATCAAAGAACACGATTTTTTATTCCTCACCTCAATGTGTTTTATTTCTTAACAGGATGTTAAAAGAATGGATATATTTCTTAACAGTTCTAATTGTATAAATTTTTTGAATCACTTCTCAAAGAACAAGATTTTTGCTTCCACGCCTTAATAGGTTTTATTTTCATTATATAAAATAATGCTTATAGTTCCATTAGAGTTATAAGCTTTTAGCTAACAAGAAGATGAGTTCAAATGACAGGGAGAAAAAACACAGATACTAATCGTTTGTTATGCAAGTACTTTGAAACTACAGGCACAAGTTTGCTTATAGAACTAGTATTTTGTTGAATCCATTAACATATGGGTTAGTGTCTAAACAAAGACGTGTTCCTAAGCAAAAGTAGTACAAGTACCTAAAGTCTGCTGAAATCAAGCCTACAAATGCATGCCAACCATCTGGAATGGAACCAATTGGGAAAAGCACAAGTGCCTTTCACAGATCTTATAAAGCCAATTGGCAGATGGGAAGTCCTTTTTGAAGTTCATGCTTGTGCATCTAATGAAAAAACACCAAACTTTTACCAATAAAGAAATGGCTCATACAAGAGGAGATTACATCAGTTTACTATAGGGAACCAAACTCAACTTTAATGCTCAGACAGCCAAAAAGGCGAAGGGAAGACAAAACAAAAGAAAATGAATCAGGCATTGCATCTAATTCATGTGCCATCAACAGACATGCGGGTCTTTTTCTGAAAAAATTTAGGTGTATGTGAATACAATATTAAATAAGAATCATAAGCATTTAAGTGACCTCACTTTCACAAACACTGATACCAAAATTTTGCAAATACAAACACTGAAGAATGAAAAAAACTTACCAGTCACGCCCAAGTTCCATAGCGCGCCCAGTGACCCAGAGAAAAATCAAGCCATCAGTCTGTAATGCAGGGACATTCAGGCTTTTCATTTCATCATCTGCCATTGTGCCATATGGAAGTTCCATATGAATATCCCAAGGAGGGTCCGCCATTATAACTCCAAACTGTCCTAATATGTCCATTCTAAAGTTACGAATGTCACAGTTAATCCATTGGGGTTCACCAAGCTCCACTTTTGAACAATATTCAGCTCGCAACTTCATTGGCCTTGGAGGTGCAATATTATTAGCTCCCAATATCATTGAAGGAATGTCTGGGGTTTGATCAAGTTCATAGTGAACATATTTGCAAGTCTGAAAATAAAAAGTTAAATATATAGAGCATAATGCAGAGAGAAAAAGACTTGTACCAATAAATGAGAACAAAACTAACCTTTGTATGACGGCATGTATCTAGGAAAGAACAGTCACCTAAATTTGTATCAGTGTGTGGAGCAATTATGCGACGGAAGTGAACCTGTAAAAAAATATTCAAAGAAAGATGAAGGCTAAAACCCATACCGCAAACGAAACTTTACTCACTAAAGAAGAAGCAATCGTCCATTACTTAAACAGCGTATTCACTAGAAATGAACAATAATCCCATATCTAAAACAGTGGATGAAAGGTCCTAGTTCAAATCTCAAAGGTTACACATGGCTGCATATTAATTAGCTTTTTGGCATATTTGCATTACTCACATCAAAACCTGCCTAAACATCATAAATGACTTAAATAACTTGAACACAAAATGTATCGGATGAGAGTTATCAATGAGAATCTAGGTTGCATGGAAACAAGTACGGGAGCCAGTATGGGTACGGGAAACAGAAAATTTGTAAAAGATAGGGTACGAGGACACGGCTACGTAAATATTTATATACAAATACATATATTAGAAATTAATAATTTACATAAGAACAATATTGTTCTTCATTCATGTGTTATCAAAAGTAAAGTTCCTATAGTATTTTATATTACTGTCATTATATGGTTTATAGATTGGAAAACTATCATTTTTGACCTAGTAACCCAAACGACCCTTTAAAATAATAGTTCAAACTCGACCTATGTCCAACAAGTTTTAGGAAGTGGATGCTAAGTGTAGGATATGCTTCCACGAAGTGTATGAGAAGCATTTTAACTTAAAACATATGCTGCATAGGTGAGTATATGCCCGAATAAATGTATTCATATATGCTAGGAGTGTCCGAGGAGTTGGGTACAGATACGGGTATGCGCCTATAGTATGGGTGCCACTTCAATCAGCAGTACCCAGGTAGCATAAATGAGAATAAATTACATTTGAGAACCTAACAAACAATGCTTGAGTGCATGTAAGATAGACAATGACAGTAACAAACTATCTGCTATAATGAGATGTAATCAAAGGTACAATTTTCAGTTTACCTTCTCGCACGCAATGTATGAACCAGTTTGGCGTCGGCAATCTTCTTTAGTTAAACTAGTACAATATTCTTTGACTTGAGAACCACCCTTGGACTTGAACTGGAAGGAGGGAAAAAAACTCTAAGATCAGCACATGTGGTTGTAAATGAGAAGAACATCAAAATAACCCAAAAAAGCAGGAGCAAATAATAAAACCTCCAGGCATGGAAAAAACAAGGATCAGCACAATTATGAAACACTGAACATAAAAATAACAAGGGCAAATTTCGGTATAAGATAGCAACTCGTTTTGCTAAATGAGTTACCAAGACATAGACTACTGGTGAGGTCCACCCTGCTAGTCACATTGAAAGGTGTGTTAACCATCAAACCCAATAACAAATCACACTTTCCAGAGCGACTTCTTGCTTTTCTAGATTGCTTGTGTATGAAGAAATGACTAGATTTTTATGCATCAAACATAATGGGAGTGCGCAAATCACATTCAGCATAAGGATTAAAGTTTGATGCAAGTAATTATATTTAAAGCACAATTACAATTACAAAAGAAATGATTGTACAAAGGACATGAAGCACTTCATGATAATCAGGTGAAAGGACTATCTACTATTTATTAACCTAACCACCTTCAGTCCCAAATGGTAAATAGCAGTCTATACAGCAATATTGAAGAGCAAACAATAGTTGGCTAACTAAAGACCTAGAGTCAACACAACTTGAGAAGAACAAATACTTCCAGATCTGAGATATCAGCGGTTTAAAAGAGGGGGTATGACAACATGGGAACCAACTTTCTGTAGAATGGGCTGTCCTTTAAAAGTTATTTGTTTCTTTTTTCTTGAGAAAAAACATGACCTGTTTGTTTATGCATTTACTAGTTCTCAAACATATAAGCTGACATACAATCCCACACATATGATCCTCTTTTCCAGGTAAGTAAACCTAACCCCACAAGTCAGCCTATGAGTTTGGGAAAAGCAGATTACATATTTATTTGGTGCTTGCTAAATGGCAAATAACTTGTATATCATGTAATGGAGAAGTAATATAAACAAAATCAACTACTAAATCTATTTATGCCTTAGCAGACTGCATTTGGAATAGGGCCATCTTTTGCTGTTGTTCATACTAAATAAGGAATCAAGGTATTTGACATTGTGTCAGATGATATCTTGATATTCCTATATCCTGTCATCGGCTTTTATCCTACTTAGGAGATGCATTTGGCAGGAAAGAGCTCTAACCTTGATCAAAGCTGTATACGTAAAAGACACAATTGGAAAAGAGCTCAATGATACTGAATATAGCTCCAAGAAGGTGCAAATTGATTACAAATAAGCCTGATATGCATTTAGAGACATACGATATTGTCCATCTAAAATAAGGATATCGATATGGCAGACATAACTATTCAAGACATGCAAACATACCAAATGAATGTTCTGATGGATTAGAGTTGTTTCATATATGTATCTGATTTGTCAAAGAATCTCCAAATATATTGTTTTAACTGGGTCAATGCTCAATTTGATTTAAATTTGGTGGTTTCTTTCCAGTGCCTGAAGAATGTCTAGTGCTTCAAGCTCCTCAACTATCAGCCACATTTCTCTCTCCAAATCACTCTTGAAATCATCATCAACTAGTGATCCTGATAATGTTAAGCCCGTTGAGTAGCAAATGAAGATCTACAGATCTAGAAATATGATACACACGGACAAGGATATTGCAAAGGACTTATGATGTTGAAATTTGAAAGATATTGAAGTAACTTGAAAAGTTGATGTATGCAATATGTTGATAAAGTTTATATATGATGGGCTTGCATTTCTAAGTTATCCAACTAGGCAATACTGATACAGTGATATATTTCTAACTTATCCAAGTTGACAATACTGATATAGTAATATATATTTGGCCCTATATATTTATAAAAGATTCATTACCTATGTAACTAGAAAAGAAAATTCATGCGGAGATCCACCGATATATTCTTTATTGGATACAACTTTCTTGGAATGACCTAGTGTGTGTGCACATGTCAATACTTCTACTCTTCATGTTCAGCACTTTTTTGTGCAATTTAACTTACTTGATATGTGAATCAAAATACTACATTATTTATGGCAGATTGACAAATATTCATTAGAGATTTTGATTGTCATGTTTTCAGGCGGCTTTCCTATTACCTTTTTTTTCTTTTTGATAATTTTGTAACGACAACCTATCTACTCCACCTCCAACAATCAGATCAAGATTTAAACAGTATTCGAGTAAATTTTGATCAACACTTAAGAAAAATCACATCCAACTGAAGGAATCTCTGCATTTGATCAACCACTTGAAGACAATGCATCAATCAAGAGGTAACCTATCAACTAATTCAATATGAAAATATTAAAAAGATTCAATATTGGCCAAACCTTTGCAGCAACTGCAGTCTCCTTAGCAGTGGGTCGATGAATAAGATCCAAGAGCTCCTCCCCAGTCTTCGACTTTTGCGCCTCTCTAAAAGTCTTCTTGTTAAGCAAAGCCTCAATCTCCTTCATTTCATCAATCTCGCTCCTGGGTTGCTTCGGTTGCCCCTGACCGGGCCCAACCATAGGCCCAGTGGGCCCCATAAGCTGTGGCGGTCTATGAAGCGGTGGGCCCATCATTCTCGGCATCCCCATCATCCCCATCATTCTCGGCCCTCCCCTTTGAAGCCCAATCATCGGTGACATCGGCTGCATCCATGGCTCATTGGCCCCGGCGTTCTTGGCACCATCAAAGATGCATCATCATCAGCCATGGCTGAAGGTTCTGGAGTATTTTGCAGCGAAGATGGGGGTGGCGGCTGCTGAGAACTCTCTGGAAGCTCTTTTACAAGCTTATTCCTATCAATTTTCCAAACCATAAGCATAGATTTCCCATTAACAGTAAAATCCTCAAGCTGCACTCCCCCGTTCTCCTCCGAAATTCTCCGAAGCGCCATCTCGACCGCCGAGATGGGCCCCAGATCGCCACCTAGATCTGACCAGCGCGCCATTCTCCGCCCCGTAGCCGACGACTTGCATCGCCTTCCAATCTCCCTCAACAACAGCAGGAATCGATCTCAGTGGAACGGAACCAGCCTCCAGCAAGCAGACCGCCACCATCGATACCGACGGCGACCGGAAAAGGCGATCTCCGGCGACTGCAGGGGCACGAGCGTTTGCGGCTCCGCGGCGAGCGAGTTTTGGCCGGCGGGTGCGGCGGAGAGGAGTAGGTGGTCGTTGGGGGCGGTGGGGAGTCGGCCGTTGGGGTTAGGGTTAAGGGTTAGGTTTGGGGTGGGGGCCAAAAGGGGCGGCGACTGAAGGCGGAGGATGAGTTGGAGGAGAGAATCGCAGGGAGGAGACGCGAGTTGGCGGACCAGGGGCTTGGAGGGAGGAGACGAGTCTCTGTTGGAGAGAGGCGGCGGGGATTCGCATTGAGTCTTCGTAGTTGGAGGCCGGACGGTCTTTGACGGCGGGCGATGCTCGTCTGAGATGGCGGCGCCGCCGGCGTCGGCGTTTTCAGTCTCCATTGGGGGGTCTGGTTTTGGGGTTTCGAGTGTGGGATCCTGGGTTTATCGAGTTTTTTTTTTCAGAGAGCGAAGAGGTTAAAAAGGTCGCTTCTTTTTGTCGAAATACTGTTTGGTTGGGTGGTTTTATAGAAGACTTTATAGAAAATGCGTGGCAGTTTTGTAAATAAATTTTTTTTTTTTTTTGAGATTTCTATAAACTGTGTTTGATTTGAAAAAAAAAATATAGAATTTTTTTTTATAAAGTACAGAAAAATATCACGTTTTATAGAAATCAATTTTCGTTCAAAATGGACGAAAATCACCCAGAAATCTGACGCATATATTAAAAAAATAATTAAGTACGTCAGTATTCTTCCCATGTGATTTCTCATGAGCATTGTTAGTAAGCTATTTTCTATAAAGTGACATCCAACCAAACAAAAGAAAAAAAAACAACATATTTTCTATAAAGTTAGAAACATTTTCATACTTTGAACCAAACAAAGAAATAAAGAAAAAATAATAAATATGGTATTCTTTTGAGTTCTATAAATTTTTCCTACAAATTTTATAGAAGGGGAAAATGTGTCAATGCCCCAAAAATGGAAACTTCATGTGACGAGGCCCCTTGTATTCTATCCTATGTGGATAAGCCCCAAATACACACAGTATTTGTGATAAGGCCCCAAAGTATCGGTTTAAAAAAAAAACCTAGTGGAAGTTACGAACTTGCCCCTTTGATGGGATTGAACTCGGTAATTGTGCCCCCTCCCTATTCAAGTACTCTCTCTCTCTCTCTCTCTCTCTCTCTCTTTCTCTCTCTCTCACTCTCTTCCACCGCTTAGGAGCCACCGAAACTCTCAAATTTTTAATTTTCTCGTTGGATTTCAATAGTGACAGACCAAAATAGTGGGATTTGACTCTTGCTCCTACTGAATTTGCATTTAATAACGTAGTCAATCGTACAATTGGTAAGACTCCATTCGAGATTGTGTATCAACGACCTCCACAACACACACTTGATTTGATACCTTTACCAAAATTGTCGGGATATAGTATTGCTACTGAACATCTAGTTGTGAAGATTGATGAAATACAGGCTAAGGTCAATTAACATTGAAGCGTCCAATGCTAAATATAAACAATCTGCTAATAAGGGTCGTCGGTCTAAAGTGTTTGCTGAAGGTGACTTAGTGATGGTGCATTTGCGCAAGGAGAGATTTCCTGTAGGGACATATAATAAACTAAAACCAAAGAAGATTGGGCCTTGCAAGATTTTAAAGAAGATCAATGACAATGCATATGTTGTCGACCTTCTGGATGGGTGGGCGATTTCTCCAGCATTCAATGTTGCAGATTTGTTCAAATACTTCCCTAATGATCCTCTTTATCCTGAAAAGTCCTTGAGGACGAGTCCTTTTCAAGTGGGGGTGAGTGATGTAGGACAAAAAGCTATGAAGGTTCGAAAAATCAAAGTCTCCAAGTTAGAGTCAATTTAGGAAATAAATTCAATGCTAGAGCCAAATTAGATTAGGAAACAGATTCAATTTTGATTCATGATTTGTTTTCTCTATTATAGAGAGTCTTTTGAGGTATGATTTAATACTCTTTTTTTGTAATTCTAGTCTTACTAGGAGTCTTGTTTATATTTCTATTTAAGAAGAGTCATGTAACCCAAAGATGAATATCTTGGAATTAAATAAAACTTCTCTTGAAGAAAGTATTGGTGTGTTTTCTTGAGTTTATGGAAGAATTCCTCGTGGTAAGGCTTCTTTGTTTTCGCCGCTGCGTCAGAGTTGAGCCAGAAAAAACTGAGAACACAGAGCTCGTGTAAGAAATTATAGCAATTCACAAACAACAAAACTCTAATGCCTAATAATGTTTCCATCTATAAGAAAATAAATTAGAAAGAAAAGAAGAAGAAGGGGAATGATAGGAAAGAAGTAAAAAGTGAGAAGGCTATGAGTTTGGTATCATGACATTTTTTTTTTTGGCTTATTAGCCAAAAGAAACTGGTTGTCAAATATGTTGTAGTGGCTTATAAATCACAAAAGTGGCTTATAAGCCAGTTTGTCTAGTTACCAAATATGCTTTAGCTTTCATATATGTATGTAGGTGAAAAAAGAACCTAAAGTAAAAGTTATGCAAAAAAACATTTTGTGAAAAATTATTTTAACACATGCACTCGTAGTTGAATCACATATACTTCAATCTTCTAAAGTCTTATTTTTAAAATGTATCGATCGTACTTGGTTTTTCCACAACCACAAACTATAAAGTATAATCATTTTCGAGACTTGACAAATTAACGATACAATATAAATTATTCTATTAGACTTATTTCAAATATAATAAGAAGGAGAATTGCCTCGTTGTTTCCTCCCGCATCCACGACTCCCTCGCTATCTCCTCCCCTAATCGTCTCTCCACCTTTGATTCTTCCTCCGCCGCCAATCTACTCTGGGAATCACCGACTCTTTCAGTAAGACTTGCGTTGCTCCGCTGTTGTCTATGTTGTGGGGAAAAAAAGACAATTTTGCCTTCAATGAATAGTCCCTCATGGACTAAGTTAGTGAATAGTAGAGGGTTTAAAATGGTTATCCTCTCTTTGGGCTTTGAGGGTTCCCAAGAAGGGGGTGTTTGGGCTTTCATTTGTTTGGGCTTTGGCTAACAAACATGCACGCGCGCGCATAATACCGCGCAGCCCCGCGCTGCGCCGCCCGCCATGTTTTGAATTTTTCAACTTCTTTTTACATGTTTTCATGTGGAGAACGTGTGTAATGGCTGCACGTTTTTTGGAGAAAATGCAAACGGTCGAATGTTACATGCGAATTTAGCGAACGTTACGCGGGGATTTCTCAACGGCTAAGGGTTTCTCAACCTTATTTATAGCGCCTCTTACCAGCTCGAAAATACACAACAATGAAAGTTCTTCTCCCTCTCTCCTGTCTTCAAAACCCGAGGAAAATTCTTTACTTTCCTCCCTCTCAAAAATTTGCTAATGTTGCTTATTTTATTTGGGCAATCTTCTTCATCTGAGCAGAAGCTCTATACTCTCACCCGAGTAAAGAGGCTGGCTGTTTCTAAGAGGCTTTTATCACTAGGAGAGAGGGGATCATCTACTCCAGGACGATAGGTGGGTCCTCAATCTTCTAGGGCACTACTTGCATGACTGCTACCCGATCAGGCTTGACTTTTTTTGTTTATTTTATTTTCAGATTTATTTGCATGCTATAAGTTTACTTAATAATTTCTCTAACAATCTAGAAGATTGAGTTATATTATAGTTGTTAATTATTTTCTATTCAAATTTAATTTGAATTAATCAAAAATTATAAAGTGTTCACCGAAAATATTTACTGTTAATTATTGTGGTTAATTAATTACTGTATTTATTTAATTATTGTTAATTAGTTGCTGCTTTAAGCTAATCTAATCCGATTTTATGCCAATTAAAACTAATTAATAAGTTATCCTAGTAAGTATGAAATACAATAAGATATATGATCTAGGATAAGCAATATGAACAATGAGATATATCATATATGATGAAATATATATGCAAGGATATATATAAACTAACACAAGGGGAAACAATAAACTAAACAAGATAGTGGATGAAATAAATGAGCAATGTACAAATGGCGATATAAGATAAATGCAAAAGCAAATGCGCCAATGACAAACTCAAACACACTCAAATGATCACGGAGTTCGGACCTTCCGTCCTACGTCTCTGCTCCCCTCTCCCGGGGAGAAATCTACTATCACAACCGGGTTTTCTACGCTCACCCGAATAACGTTTACACCTCACAGAGTCGGTTTTCAACGCTCACCGAACAACGTTTACTCCTCACACTCGGTTTTCTAGTTCACCGAAAACCTTACAACACTCACAATGTAATAATAAATTATTTGTTCTCTCATACAAGGGGAGAACTCAATTAAGCATAACTCAATGTTACAATCTCTCACAACCCTAATATACTATGTATGCAAATACAATAAGCTCGAGTGGGTGTGTGTAACAATGAGTAAATAAAATCAAATCAACTAAACTCAAATATAAAATCTAGGTTAAGAACAATGATAATCAAACAAGTATATAAATGTAAAGCTAGAGTTTGAGTTTAGAAAACTTCTCAATTGATAACAAGAGATGGAGGGAGGATAGTTGGAAGCTCAAACTTCAATAGATAATCTCCTCAAGCTCTTGTGGAATTGATTCACAAAACCGAAATACTCAAATGCTTAAAAGCTTCTTAAAACAAACTTAAACAAACACTAAACAAGTTTAAACCCTTGTTAAACTATTTGAAAAACATTCTCTTAAAAATAATGTATGGAGAGCTGAAGATAATGGGGTATTTATACCCACTTAAAACTTCAGCATAAACCCCAAGCAAATGACAAAAAAAACCCAAAGCAAATAGCTCAGAAAAATAGTCATTGGGTTCCAACGGTCATATCGGCGGTCGACCACGACGGTCGACCGCGAAGAATAAAAAGGTGAAGAACTATT